GCGTGCAGCGGCTGGCGGAACGGGTTGAGGCTGCTCTTCTTCAGGTAATCGGTCACGTGGCTGGTGATCTTCTTGCTCTGGTCGTGTGATAGGCCTGGAGAAGGTGGGATTCTGGATGTGAGGGTTGTGATGCCGATAATGGCGAAAAAGGAGACTAGAGCGAGCAGCAGCGTTGGCCGGGCCGTGAATCTACGCCGCGTGCAGAGGCGGGATCTTGGCATGGTGAAGGCCCAATAATTATACCAGTTAATTAGAGTACCAATTGCTGTCAGCGGCCGTCTGCAAAGCACCGAACCATGACAGATCCAGTAGCGATGACTGATGACAAAGGAGAGTGAGACTCGGGGCCGTCTAAGTCGACATAGATAGCGAATTGTCGCGCCCTGAAACAATCAATTAGGAGGTGTTACGTAGGCCCTCGTACGGTTTCGGATTCGGGCCTGTGGACGGAGTGCCCCCGGCGAATGCTACGGAGAACCCTGTACATCTCGCATTCTGCCACACATCTGCCACCAATAGCCACGAAATTGAAGACTTCATGCCCCTGCATCGGTGCAGTCAAGCTATGTTCATTCAAGAATATTCAAGACGAGAGGAACCAGAATTTAGACATAGGTTTTGTCTATTCAGCATTGTGTATATTTAAATATATTACTTGCCCGGATTGAGTCACCTGCGCTGGGGAGTCCAAACCCCAATTTCCATAATCTACGAAGAACTGGGCATTTTTCTAGTTTGGTTTTTCAGATTTGCCTCGAGGACAAATTCAGTTTTCGTTCTACTGGTGTGAGAGTGTATAGCAAGGAAGGGGAAGAAGGGAAGACGAAAGAGGAATCGAAACCCAACAAACAGAAAAAATAAGAAAAGATGTGTAGCAATTTCCCATGACGAGATTCCTTCCTTCCGCCCTCACTGATTTAGTCTATTAGGAGCCAGAGAGCCATGCTAGAACCGTGAGAAGGGTGAAGAAGGTAGAGCGCCAGATTTCATTCTTGTATGCATGACCACTGTCTTCTCGATGCATCCGGTCAAGGTTTCCATGTCTTTGATAAAAAGCGAAAAAAGAGTATAGTCGAAAGAGATCCTTTAAAACTCCGAGAATGTTCCAAATTCCAAGATCACAAACAGCTATCGGCCGGGCTTCAGGTGGCCGAAGGAGACGGGGGTCCATATTGATGCGCTGGGCTTTCCCCGCGATGCCTCTGTCCGCTAAACTGGACTAACTGTACTGGAAAAGCACGCTGATGGACTCGCCGTGGTGGACGCGTCGGATAGCTTCGGCAAACACCGGCGAGATGTCGAGGACCTCCAGCTTGGGACAGGCACGCTTGTTCTCCAATTGTGGGACGGAGTTGGTGACGACAATCTTGTCCAGGGCCGAGGCATTGATGCGAGAAATGGCATCCCCGCTGAAAACACCATGAGTTACGAGAGCATACACCTTCGTGGCGCCTTCGCGTTTCAGCAGCTTAGCAGCACGAGTGATGGTGTTTCCGGTGTCGATCAAGTCATCCACCAAGATACATATCCGGTTGGCAACGTCACCGACGAGCATCATACTGGCGTTGCGGTGCTCAGTAAACTTGATAGGGCGTCGTTCCTAGAAAGGGGATATGTGAGTATCGGACCATGTCCAGGAGCGCACAGTATATTACCTTGTGAATGAGGGCAAAGTCGATATCGAGGCTGTCACGAATGAGGGAGGCTCGCTTTGCGCCACCGGCATCGGGGGAGACGACAACGGCATCACGCCAGCCGGGAATGTTGCGCTGGATATAGTTTTGAATCAAAGGCTTGCCGTAGAGATTGTCGACTGGGATGTCGAAGAATCCTTGGTACTGGGGATCGTGGAGATCCATTGTGATGATGTGATCGGCGCCAGCGCACGTGAGCAAGTCGGCGACGAGGGTACCGGCGAGAGCAACCCACTGCTTGTAGCCAGGCTTGGCATGGAAGACATTCTTGTTGGTGGGCTTTTCGTAATCGTGCGTCGTGAAGCTGGGCTGTGAGGTTAGGGCGCGGTCAGGGTTTGCACCACCGCTTGCGTTAGAACTCAAGCTGGAAATGGTATCCGATCTCTTGGGGAGATATTCTCCTCCGTTCCTATCTGTCACATTCGTCTTGGAAAGTTTCTCGGCGAGTCCATTCACACCGTTGGTGAGGCCGCTGCTGCGAGGGCCACCCGGACGGGGAGTAGCGGGAACGCTCTCGAAAGTGTAATCTTTCTTTGACGAGGTGTCGATTGACTTGGACAGGGGAGCGCCAGCTTTGTTGTAGGGCCAGTCAGGCTGGCGAGAGTAAGGAAACAGGGGAACAACTGCAGTGACTCGCTTGGCAGAACCGATCTTGCAGGCGGAGATCATGATGCAAAGTTCAATGAGATGGTCATTGACACTTCCAGAGCCGGACTGGAGGATGTACACATCCTTGCCTCGGACTGAGTCCTTGATCTCGCATCGACTCTCTCCGCCAGAGAACTTTGAAAGGATACGGTCGCAGGGCGGAATACCCAGGATGTTGCAGACATTTTCCGTGAGCTTCGGGTGGGAGTTTCCTCCCAAGAGGACAATGTTGCGAACCATTATGATAGCTGGGTGTGCGAGGCCGGCACCGCGATGCTACCTTGCGATTGGTGAAGATGTCGATGTAACGATGTCGAGAGAGGGATAGTGCAGTGAACCCGCGCGAAGGGGGACGCAGACCCGGGCAGAAGAGGTGCTCTTCAAGGCTTAAAGAGGACTCAACCTTGGTCTCGTGAGCGACTGCGATTTCTGGCGCTGGTGGCGGCGACTACTGGGTTCAATACCGGTTATTTTTTTTTTCTCTCTCCCTTGACCCACGTAAAAGACGACGGGATGTGCCCCAGAAGATGGGTTTTTCTGGGCAGGAAGGGTAGGGATAACTTACCAAAGCTATTGTTCAGCTGAACTATTCAAGCCTTGACACTCGGACGCTGAACAGTGGAGTTCGCGTTTGCCAATGGTGGGTGACGTTGACTCGAGCCTCAAATTCGTCCTGCAGCCGTCCTAGATGATGGATGACCACCGATTACGGCGTTGCGAAAGCTCACAACCAGAATGCGGGATGGACAGGCAGGGGCGGGTCCAGGAGCACCAGGAGAGAGTCTGGGACAAAAGAGTCAAGGACGAGATGAATGGTGTCAAAGAAACTTCATTGTGAGATAGATAGGCAGACTAAGCACATGACGACAGAGTTTGGGTTGAGTCAATTCCTCCATCTTGCCCCAGTAGCAGAACGGGGGAGCCAACCAAGGGAAGACGGGAAGAAAAATCTTTGTCGGTCGGCAACTCTAGGCGTGCTAGGAGTGAGAATCTCGGCTAGGCCTGGGAGTAAAAGGCCAGCTCCTGACTGGCTGCCTGGACGGCTGTGGAGGGGCCAAAATTGGACCAATTCGGGGGCTCAATTGGGGCCATCCCCATGCTCTAGTGGCCATTAGCAAGTGCTGCAACCCGCTGTGTCACCCCGTGCCGCGCAGCGACCCGGGCGGGCAGGGCAGGGCACCAGCGGCTGGCGCGCTGCAGTATGATGCCATCCAGCCAGGCAGCACCTACAGTGCGACATAATAAGCCGCGCATCACTCACCGATGAACAGGTTTGTGCATCCTCGTCACAGGGCCCTCGTCAATATGCAGGATGGTGGGGGGCCAGCGGCGTGATTGGCCCCCGGAATGGCGGGGTCACTGCTAGGTAATATTTGCACATGCGACATGCGAGGACAGTGCAGGACATGTACCTACCCTAAAGTCTAAACCGTCCCGAAAAGACTGCAACGGCTGCGCGGACAGCGCTAGGTACCCTCTGCCTTGCATTAGGGTGAGGCGGACGGAGGGTACCTCCGAACACGGCTGCGTTTCGACAGGGAGCGCTGCACTGTGAGCCAGATTTGTACCTCCGTGGCCGGGATGCTGGTTGTTAGTATCTCACACCAATGGGAGAGCTTGTCGAGTTGGCACCCGTAAGCTTGGAAAAAAAGACCTCTTGTCCTACCAGCCAGCACTCATGCAGCTCGTCGGATAAGTGTTTTCATGTCATGTACGTTACGTCCAGTTTCAGGCCTGCAGCGACCTGGCTTTAGGTTGCCTCCACCGCTCGGTTCAGCCACCTGCAAGTCTGCGACAACACCCCTGGTGGAACGCAGCCTAAAAAAAACCCTAGCAGAAAAAACTCGGTGGCAGGCCTGGAGCTCTCCGAACACCACTGATGACTTAGGTAACCACACCAAGCAGCAACACAACTGTCTTGACAAAGTCAACTCAGGTAGCGAGTGCGACAAGGGGATATCTCCAACGTCTCAAGCTAGCGCACCATCGCCATGAAGGTCCTTGAATCGCAGACCGCCGTGCTCTCCAATTTCGAGGTCCATGAGCACCTGGCGGAGCTCCAAAGCCGCAAAGAGAAAAAGAAGCGTCATGCACCACCATCCAACCAAGGAATGGTCGTTGACCGTGTAGGTCAACAAATCATCCCACCGCCCTGACGACACAGGCGATCAAGATTGTAGTCCACTGACACTCTTTCCCATCACCAGACCCTGGAATGGTTGCGGTTGCCGCCCAGTCCCCTGAGCCAAACACCCACCACATACCATGCTGATTCCATCCCTACCCTCCTGGAGCGCCTTCGCCCTTATGACCTGACCAAGGGTGAACTCATCATGATCCTCAATCTGCGGCCCTGTTCAACTCCAGCTCTGAACACCACGATTGAAGACATGGAAGTTCGCTTCACTGAGGATCAGCAAATGGAGATTCTGACTATCATCGCCGAGGTCCTTGGCCAGTTTGATCCTCCCGAAGAGTCAGAGGACGCGGAAGCAGCTGCCGATACATCCATGGCGGATGCCCAGGGATCATGAGATCCTGTAGCCTGCCCCTGAGATACTACTGGATACGAAGTTTTTGAGGATATAGCGAGGCGTTATCAATGGTTAAATTCACAATCCGCTTGCCTTATCTGTTTAAGCATATTCTGGTTTTGGTTTACATGACGGTGCAGCCACCTTCGCTCTGACCACCCGCTGCCGACTTGCATTTTATAGCAGTCTTGCAAAGATCTTCAAACGCCAGCTTCAGGAGCTCTCCGGTTACCGCTGAGCACTCAATGTACCGGTCAGCTCTGAGCTGCTGAGCGGCTTGATACCCTTCCTGTGGATATATGATACCATTCGGATCATCTTCCGATCTGAGGTCCCTTTTCAGACCTAATATGATAATGGGGAGCGAGTCAATCTTCTGGAGGCTCTTCTTGACTTCATCTATCCACTGCGATCCGCACATTGTTGTATAAGCCATTGTCTTGAGACACCAGGGAAATGTTAGAACGGGAGGGGCGATGACAAACTGACATATCTCTTCATATTAATCATGCTCATTCGCTGGCTGATATCGTAGCATATAGTCACAATGTCAGGATCCAACGTCCGCCAGTTCTCTGGGCTCGATGTGTCGTAAAACTCCAGGCGATACTCCGCACTTGAGAGCTTGATCTCGAAGATGAAGGGCTGGTCGATATCACGTAGGAGAGGAATGGGATTCACATTCTCTCCTGCGCCGAGTCTCCTAGGAAGCCAAGAGAGGTGAGCAACGAGGATGGCATCACTCACGGGAGACGTGATGGGGTCATGTAATTACGGACGATAGAAATGTTGTTTTGCCACACTTTTCATCACCGACAAGCAGCACCTTGATGACTTCGGATTCCATGTTTTCGATTTACAGTAGGAGAGATGATGTAGGTGTTTAATCGGCGCATCTCGACATCTGCTCTCCTGGTGAAATGAGATAGGAAGATTGCCCGGCTGGACAAATCTTGTTAGTCGTCCAAATGACTGATGGGACCCCACTTTGTACCGCCACAGGCCCTCCTTATCTCAGGTTTGGGGGTGACGGGCTTGAACAAGGCCCCGAGCTCACCGCATCCGACGGCTAGTCAAGTATTGTCCGGGTTTGATAATTATACCAATCGCCATCACACTGCGTTTGGGTTCATATTGTGGCCTTGTGAAGGATTGTATTGGACTTGTCTGTTGAATGGTCGCTGTGCACCGCCACATCTTGCCGGCGCCACAATTCAAGATTTCATTCTCACCCACCAAAATGCACACGAGACGCAACCACTCACGTTCGGGGAGGTGAATAGACAGAGCAGGTGAAAAAAAAAAAAGTAATTCCCCCACTACCCACACCTTAATGAGACGGCTCCCGTGTAGCAGCGTCTGGAGTCGCGTTCCCTGGGGATCTATCAGAGCTGGCCGCACCCCGGCTCTCGCAAGGAATATCATCACAAGGAATATCAAAACGTCAAAGGCCCCGGTAAACAAAATGGCCGCCAATGTCGACTACGGCAAGTGGTCCAAAGATAGTCTCATTGAGCGGCTGGTCCAGCTGGAAAAGGAGCTGCAGGCTCGTCCTGCGCCACCTACTGCTCCGGTAGTGAGGGATGCGGCCGCGGAAGACGCCCAGCCAGCTCCCAAGAAGCGAAAGGAGAAGCCAAAGATGGATCCTACGACCAAGTCGTTCCGTTTCATCGCCCTCAGGCTGGCATATTTGGGGCGCAACTACGGAGGCTTCGAGTACTCGGCCAGCGGCGTGCTGCCAAGTATAGAGGAAGAGCTGTTCAAGGCCTTGACCAAGACGTGCCTCATCTTTCCCGAGGACGAACGTGCAGTGGACTTTGGCAATTGCGAATACTCCAAGTGCGGGCGCACAGATCGTGGTGTCAGTGCCTTTGGGCAGGTTATTGCCCTGCGGGTGAGAAGTGCAAAGCCAACGAGCGCAAGCAGAAACAAGAGAAAGAAGGTGGTTGAGCAGACACAAGGAGCCGAAGCTCAGGCTGAGGCCGCGCAAACAGAGCCAGAGCCCGTGGAGACTGATGCCCCGGAGCCACCACCTTTCGACCCTATCCGAGATGAGATCGACTACCCCAAGGTCCTCAACCGTGTCCTCCCGCCAGACATTCGTATTCTCGGATGGTGTCCGTCGCCGCCACCCGACTTCTCTGCGCGCTTCTCCTGTCGTGAGCGCCAGTACCGCTACTTCTTCACCCAGCCGGCCTTTAGCCCGTCCCTGCCCTCCCAGGGTCAGAAGAACGTCGGCTGGCTTGATATCGACGCCATGCGGGATGCTGCAAAGCGCTACGAGGGAGAGCACGACTTCCGCAACTTTTGCAAGATCGACCCCGCAAAGAACATCACCAACTTCAAGCGGGGGATCCTCGAGGCCACGATAGAGGAAGTCCCCGATATGGGGTCGGCCATGCAATATCTGAGCTACCCTCCAGACCTGAGCGCCACCGAGAGCGGGCAGCTCCCCAAGGTATACTGCTTCAAAGTCAGGGGTACGGCATTCCTATGGCACCAGATCAGAAACATGGTGTCGATTCTCTTCTTGGTGGGCCAGGGCCTGGAGAAGCCCGACCTGGTCGGCAAGCTCCTGGACATCGAGAAGAACCCAAGACGGCCGGTCTATGTCATGGCCGACGAGGTTCCCCTTGTGCTGTGGGACTGTCTATTTACCGACGAGATGGGGGCACAGCTACCATGGATACATGTGGAGGATAGCATCGACCCAGCAAAGCCCAACACGAGCTTCGGCACGACAGAGGGGCTGTGGAAGTTGTGGCGCGAGGTCAAGATGGACGAGATACTCGCCAACAGGCTTCTCAACCTGGTCGCCCAGCCGCTGAACTATGACGCGCTGCCGGTCAAGGAAGGCCCGCCATCGGTGAAGCTATTTGAAGGGGGCAACTCTGGACGGCAGGCGGGCAAGCACGTGCCTGTGATGAAGATGGCGCTGATGGAGACGCCCGAGGAGCAGAGCAACAAGTTTGCTCAGCGTAGAGGATTTGCCAGCGCGGAGGATAGGGATCAACAGCGGTTTGCCAAGAAGGCGCAGACCAACGCCGCGGCCGAATAGACATCTCTGCGAGCAGCGTCTACACTGTGGAACAAGTAAAGTAAAATAAAAAGACCATTTTGAAAAAGGCGAAAGCAAATATAACGCCCCATTCTAAAACTTTCTGCAAAAGGGTATCTTCTCATAATTATTCCATGATAAACCAGTGTTTCCCAAGGTCCCAACGCCACTCTCACGCCTTTTCATCAATCCCCCACCGGGGCGCCTTCTCATAAAGACACTCCCTCGCCTCCCTCCAGACCTTCTCGACAATGTGCCTCCTCGGCAGCAGCCCGGGGAACACCACGACCACGTCCTCCTCGCCCTCGACGACCACGACAAGGTAGTACCTGACCTCGAACCCCCGGAAGGCCTCGTTGACGAAGATGTCCTGGATCTTCTCCGTCGGGATGAACCGCGTCGCCGCGCTCGCCAGGTACGTCCGCGGGCTCTCGCTCGTCTGCACGCCGAGGCCCCTCAGCACCAGCAGGCTCTCCGACGAGTGGACACGGAGGGCTATCCCGTAGCACAGCGTCGCGGCGCCGGGGACGAGCAGCGGCAGCGGGATCCGCGCCGCGCAGCTGCCGAGCGCGACGCCGAGCCGCGAGCGGTGCAGGCACCCCGCCATGTACCAGAGGGTGTCTGTCGAGAGCCACGTCCTGGGCCATAGGGGATAGGTGTCGAGGGGCGCGGCGAACGGGCTCTGCAGCCATCGGGAGGAGAGGACTGTGCAGATGGCGAGGAACAACAGGAGGCGGAAGACAATCAGTATGATTCGTAGGATTCTGAGTGCGAGGGTCGGTGGTGGGAGGGTTGTGACTGTGAACTCGGCTGTCGTGGGCGAAGGGCGCCGGATGCGCAGGTGCGGCAGTGTCGTGAGCATTTTGGCTGCTCCTTGCCCATGGATGGATGGAAGCTTGGAGATAATCGGTAGAGTGAAGGGGAGTAGAGCTATTCAAAGCTGATCATGAAGTGGTTGAGCTTGTGTTTGGGCTTCCCATGGTTTAGGATTCCTTGCTCAATTAAAAAAAGTTGGGTCAATTGATACTCATCGCTCTTCCATTGTTGTGATATGGATGCCAGTATGACAGCATTGTGGAATTGGGTTGTGGCTACCTGGCAAGGGAAGGGAAGAGTCGCAGGGGTGGTGATGGCGGGTACATATCGGATGTACTTGTGATCCGGTGTTTTGCCGCGCTATACCCTTATAGCCCAAAAGTTCGGCTCCAATTCTCGACTGTAATGGTCTAATGGTGAAGAGTTTCGATTTCTCGATTGCCTCTCTCCCAAATCCGTCAGATCCCCCCCGTGACGCCCAGACCGAACGCTGCGGTGGTCGCCCACTCGCACAGGTAACTTGCGATTGTGGAATGCGCACCCTAAGCATTGGAGAGTACCCTTGAGGGAGGTTTCACTCTGCAGAGATCTCTCCCCCGTCGCGTGGCGGGCTGGATTACGATCGCGGGGGGTTTGGGATGACGGTTCGAGATGGAAACATCAACACTTCTTTTTTCTTTTTTTGCCCAATATTCATTTATTTATTCAGGTTAAAAAAATATCACCAGGAGTGGAATGTCTGGAAGTTTCATAATTCAAAGTGCAGTAAATTGAAAAAACGTTTAATCGTAAATCGTAGCCCAAATTGAACCCTCTGGTACCCAGACACTTGCGTGGTGAAATGAGGTTATCGCCAAGTCGAATTCGTAAGTATACCTCCATCACTGTCAAATAAACCGTTTTTTGGCTAGCTGAAAATAAAAAGCTATATTATCGAATCGCGCTTGTATTCTCTCTTCCAATATCACCCTTTTCCCACCAAATATACCTGAAACCGAGGAATCCATCCTTCAACATGAAGCCGTGAGGCAGCATTGTAAAACACATTCCTACACAACATAGAAAAGGGGGTACGACAATGATTGTTTGTAGAAAAATTGAAAGGATATCAAACGGTCCACCTTTCTTTTCTTTTTGATCCCATATCCAATGTTATAATGAGAGTGAACCAGGATGTGTGTGAGGTAGGACCTCGTGGCCTCCTCAATGAAACGAAATGTAATGAAGCGAGAGGGGAAAAGCAAAGCAGAAGAGAAGTATATATCTTTGTAGGTTCGCTATAACAAAGGAAAAGTCGTCAAGTCGTCATAAACGTCTGTAATATCCTCATCCGGCCTTCAAAAGGACTTGCGTGGAAACGAGACCTGATGGCGGGGGAGAGTCGAACAAATGATCCAAAAGTAAAAATCCAAGTACATGCCGATGTATATTGGGTCCGAGTATGCAAAATGATGCGTAGCCGCCACTGCCCGTAAATCCTATGTAAATGGTGCCGGTCCATCAAAGTCCAGCTGGGCGTCATGCTAACCCCCTCTTGTTCAAATGGTATCAGCTATGAATGGCAAGAAACAGAAAGAAGCAGTACAAATAACGTGAACCAGTCGTTACTAATGTAAATGTAAAACAATGGCTGAAAGTCAAATTCAATCGATATATCCGGAAACTCGATAAATAAATCGCGGTGAGCCAAGTCCATGTCGAGGGATATGGCACGCAAAAAGATGAATATAAAAATGCGCAATGGTCTTAGACCTCTAAATCATCTCGCTCTTATGCATTCCAGTTGACATGAAAGCACCTCTGCCTTCTACAGGGGAGCGAACGATGTCTTGGTCATACATGACGGGAGGGGGAATGGAAATACTGTGGTTGGCGCCAACTCCGGTCTTAAGATGTTGAGTTGGAACGCTCTCGTAAGGCGCCTCGGCGTGAGGTGACCGAACAATGTCTTGATCATACATGGCAGAAGAAAG